CTGGTACCAGGCAGGACGCAGGGGAGGGCGGCACCTGGGACACCAGCTGAATCCCAACGCCGCGGGGCTGGAAGGCAGCTCCGGGGGTCACATCCAGGCCAGCCCCGGCCTGAGGCAGGATCAGCCCTGTCCAAACCAGCCCAGACACACCCGGCATCGAAGCTCTGAGCAGCACGACCGCCAGCCCTGACACCACCCATTCCTGGCCCGGGGAAAGCAGGGGGCGCGGGGGCAATGTCCTGCTGCTGGAAGAGGTTGTCAATAGACGCTGCAGAGACCCCAGACCCAGGCCCAGGCCGTGCCCCGCTGCAGAGGAAGGCAAAACCCCCAGTGCAACCAGTGTGAGCAGGGGGGAAATCCCTTCCTGCCCCAGTGCAGCGTGGGGCTGAGCCTGAGCGCGGGGGCAAGACCCTCCGCCGGGACCCTGCAGGGTTGGTCCCACAGCCGCATTGGCACAGCCCAGCCCCATCCCCAGCCTGGGGTGCAGCAGCACCCAGCGCTTGAACCCCCCTGATACATGCAGCAGAAACGGGGAGGGGGTAACTAGCAAAGCCCAGAAACCTGGGACACCTCCGTAGTAGGGGGGTGGGTCCCCAACGAGGTGGCCCCCGATGATGGGTGGTGCAGTTCAGACGGGGAAGGGAGCTTCGCCGCGGGTAGGGAGCGTGGGTCCAGACCCCCTGCAGTCACGTGGCTGGGATGTCTGGGAGGCTGTCCGGGCTTTCCTGGGCCGTGGCCGGGGTTTCTGTGATGGGAGGCGGGTGGGAGGTGGCAGTGCGGGGCCAGAGGGGCTTGCTGAGGCCGGGGCTCAGCTGCTCTGGGTTGAGAGGTGGTTGTAGTGCGCACACACGCACGCACACACACAACCCAGATGTCTGGGACATGCAAATGCACCCCCACCCCCCACCCCAGGACAGACACATGAAACCCTGGCATCTGAGACGCACGTGCCCACACAGAAAACCCAGATGTCCTGGACACGCCCGCGCACACACACCTGCAGCACAGATGTCCAGGACACACACACAGAACCCAGGCATCCAGGGTGTGTACACACGCACACACATAACTCAGGCATCTGGGGGACACGTGCAGAACCCAGGCCAGGCATTTGGGACACGCACACACATGTGCACGTGCTCCCCCCACCCTGGGCGCGGGCAGTGGAGCGGCTCCCAGGGAGGAGGAGAGCAGAGGCCCTTGCCTGGTACTTGCCCTGCTCCAAGCTGCAGGCCCAGGCAGGGGCTCCATGTCCCCAGCGCTGACACTGAGGCCATCCTGTGTCCCACCCCCGTGGCAGAAGGAGATCCTGCTGCAGGTCCTGCGTTACATTGAGCACCTGCAGGCCAGCATCAGCACTGCCAAGGCCCTGCTCCAGCTCCGGCGGGCGGACAAGGAAGGTGAGGGCAGCTTTCCTCACCCTGTTTTCCTCCCGTCTCTGAGCAGAGCATCACTGGGCAGCGTCCCTGGCCCCTTGGACTCGTTTGCAGGCCAGTGGGCTCTGTCTGGCATGCCCTTGGCGCTCTCGTTTTGCACCTTTTGACCAGAACTCCCATCCCTTTTCTTTATTATTTGTCCCAAGGAATCTGTTGTCATCTTTTCTTGTAGCCTCCCCGCCTGAGGGAAGCCAGTTAGAAACTTGGTGGGCTGGGCCCACATGACTGAAGGACCACAAATGGGCCTGTGTGCCGTGGCGGCTGGAAGGGAGAGCCACAGGGTCTGAGCCAGGGTTTCCCCTGCTCCTGTCTCCCTTGCAGCCTCCAGCAGTGAAGGTCCAGGCTGCTCCAGTTCGGAGGCTGTGCCCCTCACTCCTGTGCTCAGTAGGTCCCAATGCCCCTTTCCTCCAGGCACGTCTCCAGCCCCATTGTGAACCTGGCTGAACTCTCAGCGTCCCCCACATCTGGTGCCCACGAGCTCGCCCTTCCATCCCGTGCTGGGGGGAAGACAACTTCCTTGTGTCCATATTAAACTGCCGGCCTGCTCGTTTCATGCCGTGACCCCTCATTCCCACGTGGTGAGAGAGTACGTCCCTCTCGACTTTCTCTTCACCTTGAAGTATTTTGCAAACCCTCGCTCCGTTCCCCCTCGGGTGTCTCTCTCTCCTGAAGGGAACAGGCCTGGCCTCGTAGCCTCTCCTTCTATGGAAGGCCCTCCAGACCACCAGACGTCCTTGTTGCTCTTTCCTGTAACAAGGATGATTCATGGTAGGAATCTCTGCTAATGAGGCCAGGCCTGCTCAGTTTAGGGGGACGCGATCAAGGTTAACACGGCAACCGCTGCCTCCCTGGGGCTCGTAGGTCCCTTATTGCTAGGATCGGTGCTGTGAGCTGTGTTGTTCCCAGCTCTGCACTGGGGTTCCCAACTGCCTCTTCTCTCCCCCGCCATGCAGGGTCAGGGCCCACGGAGCCGGGGACCCGCAAGCGAGGCCACTGTGATGGCACCCCGCACCGGAAGAGGGCCCACGGCCTGGCCCCCTGCACCAAGCCCCGCAAGAGGAAGCGGGCTCACCCCCCAGGTGAGGGGGACGGCAGGGCAGCCCCTCAGCTGGGAGCCCGGACCCCTGCTTATGCGGGGAGCAGCAGGCAGGACTCTGGTTCTGCCCCTCTCCCTGCCACTACCATGTTGGCACCCATCCCGTGGGCCTGTTTCCCCAGCTCATCCAGCTGACCTTGTGGTCAGGGTGGGCGTCTGCCTGGGGTCCTGCCCCTCCAGGTCCCTTCCAGCCCTGGGGTTCCTGGGTTTGTGGGGATTTGGGGGCAGTGAGCCCATGACCCAGGCCAGTGCCTGGCACTCTGGGGCTGCGTCCTGCCCCCGTGCCTTTGCCTTCGCAGAGCGGAGAGTGCCAAGCAAGGCTGCACGCCAGCTCCTGGTCCGGGCACCGCACCCGGAGCAGGATGCGGGTGAAGCCGATGAGCAGCTCCCGCCATGGTTTGACAACACCTTGGTGGAGATGGCTGAGGACGGGGTTCCCTTCTGCGCAGCAGGTCGGACTTGCGCCAGCCCTGGGTGGGGGATGTCCTCTGGGCTTGGGTGGGTGGCGGGGGGTCTTACCCCCACAGCACATTGCCAGCACGAAGGGGTGTAAACCCACCTATGTCAGCAGGGCCAGGCTAATCCAGCCATGTGCCCAGAGAAGCTGTCAGTGGGTGGCATCAACCTGGCTGGGCTGGCAGTGACCTTAGCACCTTGTCACAGGCTGGCACGTGAGCCGTGACCCCCAGGGCAGCCGGGACGCTGACCTCTGTGCCACCTGCGAGGCCCAAATGGCAGGCAGTGAGCAGCTACGGGACCAGGACAGGCCACAGCTCTCAACACTGGGGTAGGTGTTTGAGGGGAGGGGGGACCTTACCCTCTGGGGCCCTGAGAGCAAGCCAGAGATGGGCCCCACAGCTGAGTGCAGCCTGTGGTGCATGGGGGGCCGTGGGTAGAGCGTGGTAGAGCTGCCATGGGAGGAGGAGGACACGGAGCCTGACGCCGGCCCCTGGCTCTCGACCCAGTCCCCTGCGTGGAGCTCCTGTGGTAAGTGGCCGGGGCACCCCCAGTCGGAGCTGCCCGTGTCCCCCCTGCCCAGCTCAGCACTAGCGGCTCCATGGGGAGGCTGGGAGTGGGGCAGGGCAGCGTGGGAAGGGGGCACCTGCCCCACGGACACCTGTTCCTGTGTCTGCAGGGAGCTTGTTCCTGTGCTCCCCGGGCAGCAGAGACCCTGGTCGGGCCGGCTCGGACCTGGGCTTGAGCCCCTCACTCCTATCTTCGCCTGGACGCCTGCTCCCACACCACTTCTTGCAGGCCAGCCCCGAGGAGCTGTCTCAGGGTAAGGGGCGCAGGCAAGGGTAGCCCTGGGGGCAGCCTAGAGCTGGGCCCTGGCCCTTCTCCTCCCTCCCTGGTGTGATCGCGTCATCGTGGGGCCCCCTGCTTATGTCTCCGTGTGCCGAGAAGGGGCAGCCCCGCGATGCTCCCCTTCCTGGCACAAGGTATGGCCCCGTGATTGGCACCCCAGTGCCTCCCCTCCCTGAGGCCATGGGCTGGGGTCTCCCAGGGAAGCACGGAGCAGGCCCTGTCTGGATGCCCCCTCTTGTGCCCCTGCAGTGCTGTTCCAGGACGTGGTTCTTAGCCCACCGCCCGCCCCAGCCTCCCGGAGCCTTGCAGGGCCCCTGCAGAGAAAGGTAGGTGGGGGAGGAGCCCCCCGCTCTGCCCAGGCCCCCACTCTCCTGGGCACAGCCCTGGCTCAGCTGTTCTGGGCTCGGGGCCTGCGGCAGTAACATTACCTGGGCTCCTTTGCTGGCCGTCCCAGGGATGCTTTCCCCATTCCAGCCCCCCACTGACCTCCCTGTCTTGCCCAGGTGGCGATCTCGCTGGACCACTGCTACCTCTCGTATGGTGAGGCAAGTAAAACCAGCTCCAGCCCCAGCCCAAAGCTTATGTCCTGGAGCAAGCAACTCCTGCAGGAGGTGAGAGCGGGAGGCAGAGGGCAGGGGACAGCTACAGGGTTTAGGACTCTCCCTTTGGGGCCAGCGTCAGGGACACAGTGGCTGGGACCAACTGGCTGGGACTGAGGAGGGTGCCCAAATGCCGTTCCCTTCCTTGGGGCCCAGCTGGCCTGGGCCAGCCTAGCCAAGCCTTTCCCACGTTTCCCCTACAACAGCTCCACCCCCCAGCCCCAGCTCTGCATCCGCAGGCCCCCTCTCCGTGTTGTCAGGTCTCGCCAGCCCCATCTTTGCAGTCCCCAGCCCCGTCTCTGTGCCCCCAGGATTCCCAGCACGGGCTGGACGGCTCCGAGTCCTCCGGCGACGAGGCCGACGATAGCACGTGGACCCCACCCAAGCGGACCAAGGCGGCGCAGGCCCCAAGCCGCAAGAGGAAGAAGTGGGTGAGCGGGAAGGCACCGACGGGCATGGACAAGCCCCGCTTGCCCCTGAAGAAAAAGTGCGTGAATGGTTTCATCATGTTCTGCCGCTTGAACCGCAAGCAGTACATCCGGTGAGTGGGGGGCTCTGGCCCTGGGCGCACGGCCCTTTACTTCCAGCGGCAGGGCCCAGGCAGCGGAGGGGGACCCCTCTGGCATCGGGGTCCAAGGGGATTGCTGACGAGCCCCGGTTCCAGGTCGGGTGCCCGTGCGTGGAGTCAGAGCTCCAGGGACAGCAGGAACCTGCCTTCAAGTGGGACGGATGCCTAGTCACTAGGGGAGGGGAGCGATGGGTGCAGACGCACAAAGTCGTATGGCAGGGGAAAGCGGGGCCTCTTTTCCACGCGTGGGCTGGGTCAGCCCGGCCCTCTGTCCATGGGGCTCCCAGCCCCCCACGCCAGCCGGCTCTTGGCTGGCGGACGAGAGTGGCGGGGAGGTGCCCACAGCGCCGGGGTGGTTGAACCTCATGGAGGGCAGCAGGCTGCTGGCATCGGGGGCACCTGGGGTCAGCGGCCTGTGTCTGCCATCCCGCAGCACCTGCCCAGGCCTGGCGTCCACCGCAGCTACCAGGGAGCTGGCGCAGCTGTGGCGTGCCATGAGCAAGCAGGAGCGCAGGCCGTACTGGTGAGCAGGGCCCGACCCGGGGGGGGTCACACCCTGGTACCAGGAGGGGAGACGGACGCGGGTCCTGGCTCCCGCCCCTGCGGCCCTGCCAGGCTGCGCTTGCGGGCAGGGCCGGCCCCGGGGCCCTTCTGGGACCTGGGCGGAGGTGCGTGCGGGTTACACTAGAGCCCCTCTGCCCCTGCAGCGTGCGAGCCCGGAGATTCAGCCAGCTCAACAACCGCATCGTGCGGCCCGACTCCGCCAGGGCCGAGGCCGAGGCCGAGGACACGGAGCCCCCAAAGCCGCTGCACGTGTTGCTGGCCGAGAAGGCCCTGGGGTCCTGGGCGCCCCGTGGCCTGGCCCCCCCCTCGGCCTGATGCAGTCGCAGCCCTGCCATCCCCCCCAGGGCCGGGGCCCTGCGGGAAGGACCGGGGCTTGAACCCCGACCCTATTTATTCTGCTCGTTTGCAGCCCCCTCTCCCCGCGACCCCGTTAGCGCTGGTATTGCCACAGCTTGCAGGGCAGCAGGTTTGGGGCGCCTAAGGCCCCTGGGCCGGCGCTAGCCCCCTGCCAGGGGCTGTGGGCCTGCGCACCCCGCGGAGCCTGGCCAGCACCCCCGGGCCACGCCCTGTTGGTTTTGAGCAGTTCCCTGCTGCCACGTTGAGCTATTTATTGGGTTTCGAAGACCCGGAGCCCCGGGCAGGGCGGGGGGCGTGCGCCGCCCCAGCGGGCACTGCATCGTGCAGGGCTGGGCCCGGGGACCGCTGCACCCCTGGGGCTTCCCCAGAGCCAGGAGGGAGAGGAGCCAGCGGTCCCCGCGGGGCAGGGCGGGGGGCACGC